AACATATCTTTAGATCCAATTTTGAAGTCAAAGTACATTTAAAATATACATTTTGGCATAACTCAACAGCTTTTGCAATCAAATGTTTTTCTTCATTTACGAATATCAAAGAGAACATAATCCAGATTCTCTGTGTGGTAACCATCTTTATGTGGCTTATGTTTTATATTACCTTGAACCTATTGCTTTAAACTGCAGCCTTTTAAGCCTGAAATGGCGCTGTGGCTGCTGGCTCCGCCCACTTCAGCTTCCCAACATGACGGTGGTACATTTTCTGCCAGCTCTGGAAGCCATCAATTCTCAGAAATAGTGGGTCTATGCTTCTATCAAAGCAGCGTGTAGCTCAGAAACCTCTTTTTGTTTTATACTAGCAAAGGCTAAATCCACCACACAGCTTAAAGTGCCACTTGCAGAGGCCTCATTCCCGCCATACTGCAGGTCGAGCAGGCATGCCAGGAACCCGCCATGGTAGCTCAAACATGCAGGCTGCCACTAACTTGAGAGAAACAACTAGGAACTGTTTTTAGCTCCATTTTAGAATCTCTTTAGTCAGGTTTTAGGTGGAAACTCTTACCAACACGTTGGGCACCATTTGTAGCTAGAGTTTTCCTGCCTTGCCCACAGTCAGGACAAATCTTTGTCACCCACCAGTCCCACAGCCGCTCAGACCCAACCAAGTAAACACAGAGACTTATATTGCATACAAACTGTATGGCCATGACAGGCTTCTTGCTAACTGTTCTTATAGCTTAAATTAACCCATTTCCATAAATCTATACCTTGCCACGTGGCTGGTGGCTTACCGGCGTCTTCACATGCTGCTGGTCATGGCGGCAGTTGGCAGTGTCTCTCTGCCTCAGCCTTCTGCTTCCCTGAATTCTCCTCTCTCCTTGTCTCACCTACTTCCTGCCTGGCCACTGGCCAATCAGTGTTTTATTTATTGACTAATCAGCAATACAGACATACAGACCATCCCATAGCATCACCCTAACATGAGGAACTGAATTAAAGGGACAAAGCATCAAGAAGGTTGAGAACCACTGCTCTATGTAGTCCTGGTTGTCCTGAAGCTTACTATGTAGACCAGGCTGGCCTGCCTCTGTCTTGAAAAGCAGGGATTAAAAGTGTGTGACACCATGCCCAGCTCCATTCTTAGGATTTTAAATCTCTAGTAATTTGCAGAGTTCTTAATAAGTTAGTGATTCATAGCTTAACATTTTAAATATAATATATTTGTCAATTCTTTAAGAATGTCATATATACATCCAATATATTTTCATTATATTCATACCCTACTCTTCCCCTAAATCCCCTCAGATCCACTGCCTATCTCATGTTCTCTCTCTCTTTTAAATAACCCACCAAGTAAAATTTATGCTACCCATATCTCAAGGGTATGGGGTCATCTGCTGGAACATGGTTAACCCATCAGGAGCTATACCCTTAAAGAGAACTGGCTCTCCCTTCCCTAAAAGCCATAAACTAGCAATGGCTCCTTAGCTAGGGTGGAGTGTTGTGAGCCCTTCCCCTCCTCCACAACATAACACTTACACTAATCAACTTAATTCAAAGGTAATATAAACTTATTAAGAAAAAATTGATTATAATAAAAAGAAAACAAAACCAGTAGTTAGGTACTTGTGAAAGGATTTCAGTTGACTATCCAGAACCCACATGTGGTCAAGGAGCCAGTATGGTGGAGTGTGTTTATAATCCCAACTCTGGAGAAGTGGAGACTTGAAGAACCCTAGGGTTCACTGACCAGCTCGCCCTAGGCAAGTCTCTACCACATAGCAAGTTTGAGGCTGCATGGGATCCTGTCTTCAGAAAAGCAAACATAGGGAAGGATAGATAACTGTATCTAGAGTTCCTGCAGAGTTCTGCAGCTGGTTTGATTCCAAAGTGTTGGCCCCTGGCTTTGATCTGCCTTTTGTGACTGCTACCTTTGGTGTCCAGTACCTTCTGTTTGAAGAATGTAAATCTTATCTGAGGGTTTCCTAAACGTTCAAAGCCTATGCAGAGCTTGGTTATGGGAGGACTCAGCAAACTGAGATGTCCTGTGGCTGGGAATTGCTGTGGCATTTGTCTCGTTGGGGAGCTTCAGATAGGAGCTTTTGGTATGCAGAAGTTGACTTGCTAAAGATGTGAATTGTACTCCATAAAAAATCCCTTTGCAAAGCTACAGTCAGTCAGTTTGACAGAGGCTGACTCCCCTGCAGCAGCAAAAGCTAAAATTCATCCTAGAGTGCACCTGTTTCTTCCAAGGACAGTGTGGACCCAACACATGACACAACAGATTACTTTACCAACCCCCAGGAAACTAACCTCCTGTCTCCCTTCCTTCCTTCCTACTTCCTGTAGGAGAACTTGTCTGAATTTGTTGAAGCTCATCCCAGCTGAAGATGTCCCTTTACTTCTGATGAACCCAGAAGCTGGAAAGCCCTCTGATTTGATTCTCACCCAACTTTTGGTGCCTCCCTTGTGTATCAGACCCTCTGTCGTGAGCGATTTGAAGTCTGGAACCAATGAAGATGACCTGACAATGAAACTGACAGAGATCATTTTCCTAAATGATGTTATTAAAAAGGTCAGTGTTTCCTGTTAACTTGTGCATTCTGCACCACGTGCATCTAGAGATGTTAGCCCACTAGAATGCAAGAAAACTCAGAGAGCAGGTTTGTTTCTGATCTTTCTGTACTCATAGCACCGGATCTCAGGAGCCAAGACGCAGATGATCATGGAGGACTGGGATTTCCTACAGCTGCAGTGTGCCCTCTACATCAACAGTGAGCTCTCTGGCATCCCCCTCAATATGCCCCCCCCCCCAAAAAAAAAGTGGATACAAGGCTTTGTCCAGCACCTGAAGGGGAAGCAGGGTAGGTTCCTGACAAGATCTACCATTGTTACCTACTGAGGGAGTATATGTCTGTTCAGATCCCCAGAAACAGCACAGGGCATGTCATGGAACCCATGGTGTTTTTGATTTTAGATTGATTTAGAGGTAATCTGTCAGGGAAGAGGGTGGATTTTTCTGACCAAATAGTCATCTCACCTGACCCCAACCTCCTGATTGCTGAAGTAGCTGTGCCAGTTCATGTGGCCAACCAAAATTCTAACTTTTCCTGAGAAGATAAATACCATTCAGCTGCCCAGTTATTTGTTTTCAATCCAGTGTTTCCATTTTGATAGTTCGTGCTACATATAGAGGCAAGTCCCCAGAAACCCACACAGCGTTGTGAAAATATCTCATTCCATTTTGTTTATGTTTTTTTTTAAATGAGTGCTCTGTCTGCATGTACATCTGCATGCCAGAATGGGACATCAGAACCCATTATAGATGGTTGTGAGCTACACTGTGGTTGCTGGGAATTGAACTTAGGACCTCCAGAAGATCAGCCAGTACTCTTAACTGCTGAGCCATCTCTTCAGCTTATTCCACTTTGTTAAACACACAACCTCTGTAACATCTACACTGGTGCAGTCGTAGTTATAGCTGGTGGTTGTTGGGTTTTCATTTGTTTGTTTGTTTGTATGTTGAAGAGGTAGAGATCCAGCCTGGGGCCATGTGTGCCAGGCATGTAAGCAATGGACCACTGACCTATACCCTGCTCCATAGACCATGAATGGAATCTCACTAACTCTAAGGAGACAATTCTTGTAAAATAGCTATATTCAATAATAGGTTTATTTTTAAGTGTTCTTGGTTTTAGTTTTTTTTTTTTTTTGAGACAGGGTCTCTCTCTATGTAACTGTCTGTCCTGGAACTTACTATGTAGACTGAGGTGGCTTTGAACTGACAGAGCTCTGCTTGCCTCTGCCTCTCAAAGGCCTGTGCCACCATGCCTGGTTCAACATTTTAAGTTTTTAAAGGGGTGATGGATAAAGTACTTAAGTTACTGTCTTTGTATTCTGATCTTATTTTTAGTGTATGTGTGTGCACACATGCATGAGTGTGAGTGCACATGTCCTAGAGTGTGCATGTGGAGGTCAAAGGACAAATTTCAGGAGTCAGTTCTTCCCACACTGAGTTCCACTAATGGAGCTTAGGTCCTCAAACCTGCTGGCAAGTGCTTTTACCAAACCAATGAGCCACATCTTACCAGCTCTTACCATATCGCTGTCACTTAGAGACAGCTGCAAAAGAAAAAAGAAAGGATTTTTATATCTGCAAAAGAATCTGCTGTTTGCTTTTATGCATTTTAATTTTCTTTTTTCCCCAGTGCTAGAGATGAAACTGGGGCCTCATAGCTGGGAGGTCAGCTGACCTCATCCTAAGCCCATTCAGCAGTGTTTTAAAACAAAAGGGCACGTCCGTCTACCTCAGGCTTTCCCCACACACCAGACCCACTCAGTCCATGATCAGTTCAGTCAGTCACCCAGCCATTCTGGTTTGCACATGTTGGGGATGTGAGCATTTGAGATGAGTGACAGTTTTTGGGGTGTTTTCTTTGAAATGATTCTTGTATCATGCTTGCTGTGTATGAATGCATCCATTTCGCATTCTATGCTGCAGCTTTTTTCCCTACTGACAACACTTTCAACACCTTTGTTAGTTTAATCCTCACATTCTAAAGTATTTCACTGAAATCATTTTCCTGAACAGTGTTATTTAAAAATATTTAATAAAATAAGCAGTGCTCCAATTTGTTTGTACATTTTGTAGACTAGCCATTCAGAAACTTCTGGTAACAACATTGTCCAAATAATAAAAACAATCAGTTCTTCTTCCTAGTTTGCTTGGTGTGGGTTAGTTTTTTAACTGTAAAATGGCTGAATCAAAGAATCTGATCATTTGAAAGCTGTTTCTGCTCATCCAGAAAGCCTGTAGCCATCTGCATTCAGTTCATATTCTTGAGTATAAGATGGTGGTTACAGTGAGAAAGCCTGCAGCAGTCTGCATTCAGTTCACACTCTGAGTATAAGATGGTGGTTACAGTGAGAAAGCCTTCAGCAGTCTGCATTCAGTTCACACTCTGAGTATAAGATGGTGGATACAGTGCTCCCCAACTCTATGTTCCACATAGAGACTTAGACCACTGTAGGGCCTGGTAATAAAAGCTTGCTGATTAGCTGCATGCATGAGATTTATAGACAGTCTGGATCATCAATGCTTGTCATAAACCTGTTCCAAGTGTCCTCATTTGAATGAAGAATTCTTTCCCATTAAACCATTGACCAAGAAGTTACAGAGCACAACAGCCCATGGTACTGCTGCCATATCTTTTGAACCTTAGAGCCTGGTGAAAATTGGCAGATGAAGTTGCCACAGATTGCATTCACAGTACTGTGCAGTACAGTACACATAGGGAGGTTAGAAACCAAGAGACTTAGCTATGCCTCTTTAGAACCAGGCTGCTGTCTGCCAGTTTGCTATTCTTGCAACTTCAGTCATGACTGGGGGCCACAGCTGCCCTGTGGTAGCTCTCTTTCATTAGAACTTATGCAGTGAACTTTTGGCTAGCTTACACACAGGAGACTGTCTTACTGTTTTTTTTTTGTTTTTTTTTTTTTTTTTTAAATCATAGTTCTGTAGGTTAAGAAAGCAAACATAAATTTTTTGAGGAAACTGTCTCAAAATGGCCCCGATGTTCACCCAGGAGCCAATTTCATTCAGCAGAGACATATGAAGATGAAAAAGTAATGCTTTCCCAGTTGTGTGGGATTAACCTGCCTGATGGTACTGTTCACCAGAACCATGGAATGCACTCTAGATACACTGACAGGCATTTTGGCGTGTAGAATGTAGATGTTTAAATTAAGTATTCCTGTGTCTGTCATTGTCTCTGATCACTGCATTTGCATGAAGTATTGTTCTCTTACATGTGACATTATTAGATCTCGATACACAGACTCCCTTGAGATATAAATAGGTTGTTTTCTATGTCACTGGGCTCTTGAGGATCTCTCATTGGTGCTCATTTCACCAAGTTTGGCTTGCATAGCTAGGTGAGGTGACCACCAGTGGCTTATGTCATGAGAATTTTAAGCATTCTATAGAAGAAAGAATATTAATATATTTATATGATTCTAAAACAAATACTTTAATATTTTAACATCCATCTCTCCTGGATCTAGAGACTGAATCCAGGGCCCTATGTACTGCTGAGCTGTACCTCCAGCTCCCAGTACCCCCTTGTTAAAAATAGGGTCTCACTAGGCAGTGGTGGCACATACCTTTAATCCCAGTCCTCAGGAGGCAGAGACATGTGGACTTCTGTGAGTTCAAAGCCAGCCTGGTCTACAAAGCAAGTTCCAGGATGGCCAGGGCTATACAAAGAAACCCTATCTCTAAACAACAACAACAACAAGAGAAAAGAAAATGGAGCCATGTATGGTGGTACATGTCTGTTGTCCCAGCATTTGGAAGGCTAATGAAGAGGTTCACAAGTTCTAGGTCAGCCTGGGCTACATGGGGAGAGCTTGTCTCAAATAAGTCAGTAAATTTGTAGCGTCTTAGCTTAGTTTAAGTGTCATAGACAACAGTTTCATTGTGAGTGGGAGAAATGTGTTGAGAGAACTTGGTTCAGAGACATATGTGTGTGTGTATCCTGCACTCTCAGGTTCCTGAAGTATGGAAACCGGGAAAAGATGGCTCAGGAGCTCAAGTTCAGAGATGTTGTAGAGAGACACCTGATAGACAGAGATGTGGTGTTGTTCAACCGGCAGCCCTCGCTGCACAACCTGAGCATCATGGCCCATCTGGTGAGTGTGAGTTTGCTACTCTTAGTTCCTGCTATTTGGGAACTTACAGGGTCTACTCAGAGCTGAATTCCGAAGGGGTAAAGTTAAAATTGCTGCAACTCTCAAAGTTTTGTAACTTTGAACTTTCTATTTCCCTTTCTGTTTATATAAAACTTGTTTTAACCTTTAAATTTAGTGTGTGTTTGCATTCATGCCATGATGCAAGTGTGCAGTTAGAGAACAATTTGCAGAAATTGACTTTCTCCTTCCAGGTGCCTCCCAGAGATCAAAGTCAGATGGTCAGGAGTAAAACTTGGATTTTGACTTTATTTCGTCTTCATTTTATGTATACATATGTGTGAGTGGGTGTGTCTGATGTATGCCACATGTGTGCAGGAAAGTGTAGAGACCCGAAGAGGGCATGGGATCCCCTGGACTGGAATTGTAGGCAGTTGTGAGAAGCCTAAAATGGGTGCTGAGAAGCAAACTGGAAGTGCTCTGGAGTAGCAAGTACTTTGAACCTCAGAACCATCACCAGCCCTCCCTTCAGTGTTTTTAAGATGTGAGGTATAAGGTTCATACACAACATACTGTGGCACAGATCTAATTGAGAGTTGGAGTGAAAATCCCTGGAATGGTTTCATTTGGCAAAGGAAAATGTGTGTGTTGTGTACAAAGCTTTATATAAAATAGGCAAAAATTGATTTTATTTAATTTTGCCTGTTAATTTAGCAACTAAAGCCAGGTGGTGGTGGTGGCGGTGGCGGCGGCGGCGGCGGTGGCGGCGGCGGCGGCGGCGGCGGCGCACGCCTTTAATTCCAACACTTAGAAGGCAGAGGCAGATGGATCTCTGTGAGTTCAAGGCCAGCCTGATCTAAGGTGTCAGGTCTAGGACAGTCAGGACTGTTACACCAAGAAACCCAGACTTTTGCAAACAAAAAAAAGAAAGGAAACTTAGCCCCTAAAATGCTGAAGAGACTTGCACAGTGGGTCTCTTGCAGAGTGTTGAGTGCCACAGGCTTAGGGGCAGCATGACTTGGAAGAACGCTGAGGGCTGTGGGCCCCCTGCAGATGTGGCTTCACTGCTGCTACTGCTTTTCACCCCTGTGAACTTGAAATTAGCCTAAAGGCTCACCAGATTCAGGCTCAGCTATTTGCAGGGCTGATGCATAGAAGGTGCTGGTTATTGCTCTTGGCTTGTTTGGAGATATTCATGTGATCTGGCTACCCCGCTCTTACTGATGCTGAGAAGAAGATTGAAATACTTGAGGGTATACAGGTTCCCCAATCTTTAATTTCTTTCTGTTCTCACGTATTATCTAGGCTTCTTCTTTAAAACATTATTTTCTTTTTTTTTTTTTTTACATGTATTGGTGTTTTGCAGCAGTGCCCTTCTTTGTGGAAATTTTCTTATTATTTCCTTGAAATTTTATCTTCATTGCTTTCTGTTTGGAACTTGTGTTAATTGCATTTACAGTTATTGGATCAATTCTGCTCTAAATTTTTTTTTACCTTTTTAAAAAAAATCTATGACTTTATTCACTCCTGTTGTCTTTTATCATTTCTGTTGATTTGAAATGTTTCTATGACAAAAGTTCCCATGATTAGTATTTGCAGATAAGGTAGGGCTTTGTCTGTTCTCTACATTAGGATTTTCCCCAGCTTCCTCTGTTTTATTTGTTTATGATTTTAAGACAGGATCTCACTATGTAGCCCCCATTGACCTAGAAAATGGTATATAGACCAGGCTGGCCTCAAGCTCGTGAGCATCTGCCTGTCTCTGCCTCCCATGCACTGGGATTAAGGGCGTGCACTGCCACACCAGGCTGGAGCTGCCTCACTCTGGTCTCTGGATTTGACTTTGACTGCTCTGAAGGAGTTTTACTAAGTATTTTCATATTTGCTCACTGAATTTTCCATGTCCTTTCCTTTTGTATTTGTGGTCTCATATTTCATGTTAAAAACTGTCCTAAAGGGCAAGAGAGATGGCTGAGAAGTTAAGAGCTCAGAGGTCCTGAGTTCAATTCCCAGTAACCACATGATGGCTCACAACCATCTGTAATGATATCTGGTGCCCTCTTCTGGCATGCAGGCATACATGCAGAACACTGTATCTATAATAAATAAAATATTTAAAAACAAAAGCAGAACTGCCCTAAAATGCATAAAATCCATATTGTCCTTGGTTATCCACTCATCCTTGGGGTGTGAGACTAATCACTGACTGGAAATAGAGCTGCCAGGTTGTTGTCCTCTGGTCTCCTTGGTTTGAGCTGAGAGCCCGCCTTCTTGCTGCAGGGCCTCCACTCACCCGTCAATAACAGTTCTCTCTAGGGAGGCTCGATTTCCTCAGAGACATCTCCTCTAGTTTCAGTCTCCCACCCTGGGGACAGAGCCTTGGAAGCTGGCCAAGGCGGGAGCTCAGGGCTGCCATAATATATTGCACAGATGGTTCTCCAGGCTCTTGTCATCCTATCCGGTTGTGACTGGTATTCTCAAATCCAGAACCTTTGGATCCTTCTGTGAGGATGTGAACTGCCATCTTCCTTCCGAGCAAAGCCCAGAGCCAGTTCCTTACACAGACTCTCTACCCATTCTCCTTGTCTCCAATACATTCATCTCTGTGTCTGCAGGAACCAGTGGTCTCACTTCCAAGCCTCTCTAGACTTCTTGTTGGTTTTCTACCTGAAGACATTGAAAGGGCCTCTCTTTTCCTGTGCAACTAAGACTGAACACTCAGTCACCCACCCACTTCTTCACAGGTTAGTCCAAGACTACCAGAGATGGTGTTTATATTTGCCTTTTTTTCCAATAGGAAATGGAAGTAAACCCAGATTCACATAGTGCCCCCCCCCTCTCTCCACTGAGTTACACCCCAGCCTTCCTCCTTTTCTCTTTTTTTTTTTGAGCTGAGGATCCAACCCAGGGCTTTGTGCTTGCTAGGCAAGTGCTCTACCACTGAGCTAAATCCCCAACCCCCTCCTTTTCTCTTTGAGAGTGATTTCTGAGAGGAGGAGGGCAGGCAGCAGGGATGAGCTCTTCCTGACAGCTTGACACTAATGGTTATGGCTCTTTTGCTCTGCCTGCCAATTCTTCCTCAGCTAACCGCGGGTTCTCCATCGGGATTGGTGATGTCACACCTGGCCAGGGACTGCTGAAGGCCAAGTATGAGCTACTAAATGCTGGCTACAAGAAGTGCGATGGATATATTGAAGCCCTGAATACAGGCAAGCTGCAGCAGCCGCCGGGCTGCACTGCTGAGGAGACACTAGAGGTGAGCTGCCCTCCAGATCGGCGTGGTCAGCTGTCCTGCTGACAGTGTGTTTGGGATGGGCCAAAAGCCATGAAGAGAAGGTGGCCGAGAAGCAAGAAGGGACGCGGTTTTGTCCCATTCCTGCAATGTGTTCTTGTTTGTTTGGCAGTGTGGGACCTTTGCTCTTTTAGCATTCATACTCTGGTATAAAAACATGGGTATAACAGCCTGGGCTACAGAGTGAGTTCCAGGAAAGGCGCAAAGCTACACAGAGAAACCCTGTCTCGAAACAAACAAACAAACAAACAAACAAACAAAAAACCAAAACAAACAAACAAACAAACAAAACATGGGTATCTCTTCATTTGACAGCATGGGGCTGTGCTTCACTAGGACTGCTCTGACTGTCCCTGAGATCCTCAGCCCTCCCTCCTTACACAGACACCACACCAAAGCTCAGTACATTGATCATTATTACCATGACTTGGATGCAGGATAGGAAATACTTGTGTTTGATTGTCTCACCCAGGCCACAGCCTGCTCATGTTTGAAACATGAGCACTGAGCTGGCCACATCAAAATATATCCTTGTCTAGGAGCCTGAAGTTCAAAAGCAAATGGACCAGGAGTTGGGGCACTGGCTTTGTTTTGTTCTGTTTCATGACAGTCTCACTCTGTAGCTCAGGATGGCCACAATTTCATTGTCTTCTGACCTCAGCCTCAAGTCCTGGGATTTGCAAGTACATGTTGCCATACCTGCCTATCTTCTGCCTTCTCCATGGCCTATGTCTTGCACTTTTCCCTCCCTAGAGTATGGAAGATAGGCTCTTGAAGCATCATGTCTTCCTAGCTGGGTGTGGTGGCTCACACCTATAATTTCAACCACCTGGAGGATGAGGCAGAAAGATGGGGAGTTCATAGCTAGTGTTTTGTTTTCTGTTCAGATCATATAAATAGTTTGCTAAAGAGGGTTCAAAACCAGGTTGGGGAAGTTTAGCAATACAGTAGCTAAAAGAGAAGTGGGAAGATGAAGAATTCTTTCTCTTTGTGAGGGTTTTTCAGACACTTTCTCTTTGTAACCCATAGTCACTAATTCATAGTCCTGCCAGAGACCTGAGTGCTGGGCTCCCAGGAGTGTACCAATCCCCTGGAAATATGCTCCTTTTCAGTCTTCCTGAGTTTTAGACACAGATATAAGAGGAAGCTTCTCACTGTACCCACCACGACAAGTAATTGAGGCCTCATTAGGACCACGACTTCTAGAGGGCTCAGAACCTTAAATTGTGAACTGTGACTGTGCTCACGGGTCAGGGTGTCCTGGAGTCATCTTGTCACATTCTTTGCTCATGCAGATTGAAAGCATGCTTGGTGAGAACAGGTAGAGACAGATTGTACAAGCAGAGGGAGCAGCTCTCCTTCACATGAGCATTGTGCATTTACAGTGGTACAGGCACACAAAACTGGATGTCCACATGCTGTCATGTAGACAGCAATGCACAAAACCATAGATATTCTACTTCATGAGCAATTTGAAATTTTTTGTAGGATTTTGTTACAATTTTCTATGCACAGTCTTCCAGACCCTTGCAGAAGAAAGGACTTTGTGCAACTTAGCCTGTGTGATTGAGTTCAGGAAACTTCATTAATTAGAAATCTGACATATGTTCAGATTTCTGAACATACGATGAAATGTTCTCAATTTTTCTTTTGTCTTTGTTTGGTTTTGTTTTTAGAGACAGAGTTTCTCTGTGTCACTTTGGTGCCTGTCCTGGATCTCACTCTGTAGATCAGGCTGGCCTCGAACTCACAGAGATCCGCCTGGCTCTGCCTCCTGAGTGTTGGGATTAAAGGCATGCGCCACCACCGCCCAGCCTTGATTTTTCTATAAATGTCAATATGAAATTCTGTGATCTGCAGACCCAAAGCATGTCCCATCAGGGACTGCATTTTCTTCCCGCTCTGCCTCTCCCCCAACTCCTCATCCTGAAGGTGCTGTCTGTGATCCAGGACCATGCTGGCAGAGCCTGCCTCCAAGAGCTAGACAAGAGCAACAGCCCCTTCACCATGGCCCTGTGTGGCTCCAAAGGTGAGCTAAGGTTGGCTGTTTGTGTGCCCTGCCAGGGGCTTGGCTCTAGAAAATGTCTGTCATGGTGGTAACTTCATAGGGGCTCTTCATTTCTTTTTTTTCTTTATTAAGATTTTTTTTATTCATTTTAATACCAACAACAGATCCCTATCTCATCCCTCTTCCTGCTCCCCCCCCCCACTTTCCACCCCCACCAACTCCTCATCCCTTCCTCCAAAAAGGTATGGCCTCCCATGGGGAGTCAGCAAAGCCTAGTACATTCAGTTGAGGCAGGTCCAAGCCCCTCCCCTCTGCATCAAGGCTGTGCAAGGTGTGCCCCATCATAGGTAATGGTTTCTGAAAAGTCAGCTTATGCACCAGGGATAGATCCTGATCCTATTGCCAGGAACCCCTTAAACAGACCAAACTACACAACTGTCTCACTTATGCAGAGGGCCAAGTCCAGTCTCATGTAGGCTCCACAGCTGTTAGTTTAAAGTTCATGAGTTCCCAATAGCTTGGTTCGATTGTCTCTATAGATTTCTCCATCATGATCTTGATGCCTCTTGCTCATAGAATCCCTCTTCTCTCTCTTTGACTGGACTCTCAGAGCTCAGTCTGGTGCTTGACCATGGATCTCTGCATCTGCTTCCATCATTTACTACATGAAGGCTCTATGATGACAGTTAGGGTGTTCACCAATCTGATCACTGGGGTAAGCCACCTCAGCCACCTCTCCACTATTGCTAGTAGTGTAAGCTAGGGTCATCCAAGTGCCTATCTCTAAATCATGGAAGTCTGCATAGTTTATGTCTTTCAGAAAACTTATTGGTAATGTGGTCGAATTCCTAAGTTTGAAGATGCTTTGATTAAATTTGGTGTTAAAAAGAAGAAAGCTGGGAATTTTCAGTAATAGATTTAGTGATCTTTCTTCTTTTCTTGTGGTGCTGAGGATCAACCCTAGGGCCTCATGCATCTCAGGCAAGTGCTCTATCACTAGCTTAGCTTAGATGTGGCAAACTTCTTTATCTTCCTGTTTCCTCAGACCCTCTAGCATTAGGATTCCTAATACCATGCTCAAACTCGGGGCCTCTGTTGCTGTCATTTTGTTCCTTATGAAATAAAATCCCCGCTCTCTAAGTTGGCTGCCTTTTCCCAGTGTTCTCCTTCCTGCTCCTGTGCACACCTGGGGTCTCCCCTGCTCTGCCTTTGCTTCTCCCTCACTCTTCCACACACATTCAGATTCCTTCTCCCATCCTCCTCTCT